TACTATACACTCCACACATTGTAAAGCATCTCAACTAGGGCATTCACCAGCGTGGGATAGACTCCATCGTGTGGAATAGCTAGTTGAGATGCTTTACAATGTGTGGAGTGTATAGTAGAATAGCAGACCTAGTGATTAATGAGAAGGTCGTAAATAGGGTTTGTGCGAACCTCACGGTGAAAGGGATTGTTGAATAAACATGTGACGCCCAAACCTCACGCATAGCGTGACTTCCTGATCGGAGTGGGATGGGGGCCCGGAAGTGCGAAAAGGGGGTGTGCCAAGGATTTTAGGAAAGTGGGTGTGGAGTCTCATGTCGGAACTGAGATCTCCGATGGCAAGTTTAGGGACAACGGTGCAAGATGGTATACGAAGACCGTGTCTAGGATTATCGTCTCTGCCAGTTGCGTCGCTGTGGTCGATTCCTCATCTGGTGAACCTGTGAGTCGTGGTGGTTGTCACGCGGTTCGAACAGTTGTCTGCGCCGCTCGACTGCGGCTCGGGTTTGCCAGGTAATTTCCGAAGCTCGATACACCTGGTGCCGCTTGCACTTCTCACGCGATGTGCGGGACCAATAGCGGGCTATGGAATTCCACGGTACCACTGTGAGCTGGTGATATGGAAGGAGGAGGTGGAAGGGAGGGAAATTGGTACTAAAACGACGAAGCCGGGAGATATGTAATATTGAGTATTGTTAGTCTACGGATAGTCTCGTCCCCTAGGATCGTAAGTTATGGCCCAGTGAAAGTCTCTTGCGCACAGTCGGTCATTCTCCGTCAAACAGGGGAATTCAGAGTTTCTGAAGTTTCCCCGCCGTCTGAGATGTTCACCCTCCCTGTATTTGCGATACTTCGGGTCCCTCAGGCTCTCACGATCGGTGATCCAAAAGAAAATTTCTACAGCCATATCAGACTAGTGAACTCAATTTTCCACATCCCTTATAGTGAGCCACGATCGAGGTCGACTCATGCAGACGCGTGTGTATGCTGCGATTCGGTTTTCTCGAGATCGTGGTCGTACGCGAGCGTGCACATGAGCGAAAGTGGGTCAGGCTCGGATTTATTGCGTCGGTGTATCAATTGTGTCCTACATGTATGCAACTATCCTACCCATGTTATTTCGGGTGAGATCTAGTCATTTCATTCACACCCATGTCATTCAGGTGACGAAGGAAAAGAAAAGGAGAGGGGGGGGGGGCAATTGTCCTGGCATCGAGGGACAGCACATCACGACACTCTCGGTGATCTGATGAAGATCAAAGGCTAACAATTAAACCCAAAACATCCATAGGGAGGGTTTTTGATCAGACCCTGGATTGTTGCTTGACACAGATGGATACCATCATACTAGAAAGTGATGAAATAATTAAGTATGCATCACAGAACAAGAAAAAGAAAATCCGAAAAGATCACTCAAAAAAAAAAAGGGTTCACATCCATGTCATGCATACACACGAAGCAAAGGCAACAAAGAAAACCCGAAATGATTCACAAAGAAAGTCCGAGAGGGCCGCAACAAGATGGACCAAGGTAGAAATCAAAATTATATAGATAGTTCGACGAAGAGACTTCATCCCTGTCTCTTATACACATCTAGATGTGTATAAGAGACAGGTACATGACTACTATAATTTCAAAGAAGCGGCGTCT